TTTTCCCATTAAGTCCCGGAATAAGCAGACTGAGGACTATTTTCTGGTACCATATGATGGATGCATTGTTTCAGTGATAAAGTGACAAGGTGTGGGGGCTATATCTGGGAGGTTGTCTTCTTTTATCTGGTAAACATTAAAAAAGGGCAAACAGAAGAGAGATAGCTTTTCTTAAGGCAACTGCCAGCAAAGGCTGTCCCCTTCCTTATCACCTTGGAACGTGAGAATGAGCAGATCGAGCTGCCTTGGTATTTCTGACTTCCATTGAGCAGAATCAAGATCTTAGTAAAATTTCAAATTGGGTATAGAGCAAGGAAATAACCAAATGTGTGCATATTGGGGCATAATTCATCATATGGCTTTATCAGATAAAGCAAATGAGAAAATCCCGCGCCAGTCATAAAAGCGTGTCCAACTCTGAGTGACTTGTCCTTAAGATGGATCTTCTGTAAATAATTAAATTAGTGGATTTTTTTCCACTCTTCCCATCTGGGCAGAAAGAAAAAAAAAAAAAGTCATGCACACACACACACATACACACACACACAGAAAAAAAATCCCAAAGGCTAAGCCTTCTGTTTAAGTTGTTAGTGCAACAAAGGCTTTGCCATTTATTGAATTACTAGCCAGATTCTTGAACTTCAAACTGCAAAAGGAAATCAGCACAGTGATTATAAATAATTTGTTTAGGTGTGATTAGAAATTTATGAGAGATGTAATCTATTTCACGGCCACAAAGATTTATGTGAATAAAAACTGGAGGCATATTGTTAAAAAGGTCTTAATACAGATAAGTAATTTGAAAGCGTTTTGTAATCGACAGGGGAAACCCTTTCCAGCTCTCTGCAGCAGCGCTTCCGCTCAGGGAATGAGGAGCGCTCACCCTGAGTGAACACAGGGCCGTGCTGCTGGGTCCTGTTGGGCTGTCAGACCACCTGCACTGAAGCCCAGGAACGCTGGGTTACAGGAGAGGAAGACAGATGGGCTGTAATGGTGGCAGGGAAGGGGGAGAAGGGATGCAGGGGTGTATGTATGTGTGCCTGTGGGCGGAAAAGGGGGTGGAGGGAAGTCTTGCTTCTCTTTTACTAAAAGGACAAACTGCATGTCATTTTATCTGTGGTCCGGGGAGCTACCAGGAGCGGCTATGACTGCATCGCTAAAACATCCCCTGCTCAGGGACTCGGCCTCTGCGAGCACGGCTCCCCTGGACTTGCTGTTAAAAGCAATCTGCCAAGAGGCTCCGGAACCCAGGGGTCTCGTATCCAGTGAGCAGTAGGAAGGTGACCTTTCCCGCTGCCTGTTTATGAGGGATCTGCGGCCTCGGGCTCAGTGTGGGTCCCGCAGCGGCAACAGGCCGAAGGGGAGAGGGGGAACTCGCTGTTTTGTGTGTGTGGGTTTTTTTTATTTTTTATTTTTTTATTTTATTTTTTTCTTGAGGTCATATAATCAACTTAGAAAATACAGCTGGAAAGGAGCAAGAATGAAAGCTTGGTTTTTTATATTCTATCTTACATTTTGGGGGTAAATGATTAAAGGCAAATTCCCTTTAATACTTTTTTATTAGAGTGCAACCAACTTAGGAACAATTTAGTTATTACACTGAGCCTTTAGATCCAAGTACACAGAAAGAAGGAAAAGAGACAAAAGGGGAACTGAATGAGGCAGCAGAAAATAAAGGAATTAAAACTAAAATACAAAGAAACCAGAGAGGAAAAAGGCAAAGGAAAATGTAGTTCTATTAAGAAGATGATCATTTTTTTCTTGCTTAACTTTCTATAACTTAATAAATAATATCTCACTTAAAAGACACTTGTAAGAATATAGGATATTTTCAAATGAAAGTCATCTTATTTTTACACAATGCTGGTAAGTAACTGCCTGTTCAGGAAGCCTGCATGTAACCACCATGACCTGAACTTACTCAGAGGCGGCCATGCCAGCTATATTGAGAATCTTCTATTCGAATGCTCACACACATTTGCATGTAGCTCACACACAAACAAAACTATTCCTGTGTGGTAATTCCCTTTCCTATTTGTTAGGAGTTGCTTGTTTTTAGGTATTGATTCTATTTTTTCATTTAACCAAGAATCTCAGGCCCTTTTCCAGAGTATTAAAATTAAAAAAAAAATTCAATGCATAGCCTGACCCATCTCCCCTTCCCCCAGGCAACATTTCACCTATTCTGAAAACAAACTAAAATAAAATCCAAGCCCTAACCGGTTTGGCTCAGTGGGTAGAGCATTGGCCTGTGGACTGAAGGGTCCCAGGTTCGATTCTGGTCAGGGACATGTACCTTGGTTGCAGGCGCATCCCAGTGGGGGGTGTGCAGGAGCAGCTGGTCTATGTTTCTCTCTCATCAATGTTTCTAACTGTCTATCTCTCTTCTTTCCTCTCTGTAAAAAATCAATAAAGTATATTAAAAATATTTTTAAAAATAATAAAATAAAATCTGATACCACAATCGCACAAGAAGAAGGATGCCAGGAAAGGGTGAGTGACGCTGTGACCTCCTTAGTCCTGCTTTGCTCATGGCCGCACCAGAAAACATGCACACACTGTTGACTGGACGGCTATGACTGATTGATGAGAGCCTGGTAAGGTTACCATAGCTAATTACAACATCATTCATCTAAGCCCGCGTGGAAAAAAAATACCAGGCTCCCGGGGAAGGAAAAGGGAAGAAAGAAATGCTATGCCTTAGCAAGCTGTTAACTTTTGAATAATCAGCCTGCAACAGAAAACAAATAGGATGAAACTCAAGGACCAAATTATGAGTTATGGATCCATCCAAGCAAATGACCTCAGGCCCCTGGCGATTTCCACTCTGAGTTGCACAGCCCACAGCCCAGCGCTCCCAGCAACCAGGGACCCTCACATGCCTATGCTCTTTGTAGTAGGAATTCAAAGGCTCCAGCAGCAGCCTGGCCCAGCCCAGCCCAGCCCTGAGCGTCAGTTCTGCTATGTGTGTGGTGTGAGCGTGTTTGTCTAGGATCAGATGCCAATACTTAAACTCCCATTATGGGCACAGCAGCTACTTACATACTGTAGCCTAATTAAAGGAATAAACTTCCCCCTTCTTTATTTTTTCCTGAAGATCAGTGCCATGAAGGGATTTGGTTTCGTTAAAAACTCAGACAAATGTTCCCATATGCTTCCCTTATGCAGTGCATTGTCAAATTCAGAAGAAAACAGTCACGAGTCTCAACACTCCTCTATGGCTATGCGACGTTTTCTGAGAACTACTGAAAACAGAGAGCAAAGAACTCGGTGTTTTGAAAATAATGATAACAAACACACAAGCATAATTTCCATGTCAGTTCTGAAGCAGCACAAACACACATGGAAACAATAAAGCATCTGAGGCACCTTCCAGCTTTCAAGTCTTAGAAACAAGAACCACTTTCAAATACAAAGTAGCTCATCTTCAAAGTTTAACACACGAGAGGGGAGCAAAGCTAATGCCATTTCAACTCCCAACTTTAATCAGATCGCTTCATATCTGGGTAATAGAGATCACAGGAGTGGCAACAACCACATTGAAAGGACTCTATCCTGACACACTGCTTGAATTAAATTGCTAAAATGATTACAACCAAAGAAACGTTTTCTCATGGAAGCCTGAACCCAACATAGCAAAGTTCAGTCAAGAAGTCCTTAGAAAAATTATCAACATGTCTACACTAAAACTGCTAATTAGTTGGGGCCAGGGGAGGACAACGGAGTCAGATTCAGCGTTAGCTGGGCATTAATAAAATTCTCAGGGGACAGCGATAGCCCATAAAAATCAAGAAAGGCTCATGTTATAGATGAGAACACTGTGGTCCTTTGACATGTGGCAGTGGCACATCAGGAAGTGACCTGGATGGTCTCAGATAAGAATATCCAATCCTATGAAACGCCAGATGTGTCCACTTTGGAGGGCTGGTGTTGAAAAAGGTGGTCCTGATAGATATAGGTTAGATGACTTGTGTGGGAACACAGCTAGATGAAAATATGTAGGGTTGCGAACCAGCTCCCTATTGTTGGTTCTCAAGGGACAAGGATTGGGCTGACCTTGGGCTCAGAAGGTCTTCTGGAAAATAGGACAAGGTCATAAAAGCAGCACAGCAACTACTGGGGGAAAGGCTCAAGAGCATATTCTTCCAAACTGCAAAGTAATTGCCCTCCCTATTCTATTTTACTTACAGAAGGTCCTACAGGAAGACACTTGAAACGTCAAAAAGAGAACAACAATATCCACAGGACAGAAAAAATCACCCAGGGATCCAAGTAGAATAATGCTTTTGGTTCCAGTTCCCCTAAAACACATAAACATGCATGCATTCACATGTGTACACAAACTCATGGGATTTGGAGACAGGAACAGACAGATTCATTCCTGAAACCTAAAGAAGGTTTTAACAAAATGTTCTCCATCTTAATTTTCTAGTCTTTATTCCCTTATTAGCTTATGATTTGCAGCTATTCATAACATCTATTTATTACTTTACACTCTATCTCAATTCCAAAAGATATGAGGTGCTACTTTGTCACATACTGTATTAAAAGTCATGGAAATTGAAACCTATAATTGAAATCCAAAAAATGTCATGTAGTTAAAAGAACACTGTCCTAGAAGCCAAGAGCTAAAGGTTCCAATGCTAGTTCTTTAACCAAATAGTTGTTTGGTATTAGAGCATACACTCTCTCTAAGCTTTTTTCTTTCTTCCTTTTCTTACTGTAAGGTAATGGCAATTATCTAGACAATTGCTGATTATAAAAATCTATGGAACTGGCTATTTCTAGACCAGTATTTCAAAAAGATTGTTCTAAGGGTGCTAACAATTCTTTTGGTGGTGGTGGGGTTCTTTGCTGCAGGAATTGTCAACAACATTGGGATTTTCTGCTGTCTGCTCAACACTTTCTTCCAGTCCTATTTGGATAATAAACAAACATCAATGAAATAGAATAGCTTCTAGAACTTAAGTGCTCAATAAATGTTATTTGTTAATTAACTAGAATAAAATATATGTTGAAATCCTGAAACATGTCGAAAAGTAATATTGGTTCCACAAAGAAGACATAGACAATTTCTGGACTAGGTAATTTTAAAACACAAATGGTCTCTGAATCTGATTCTTGCTACTTCACCTGGTGTTTGTTTCGCCATGTCTCTTCTTTTAAATAAGCTATTCAGCAACCTCTAGGCCACACAGTAAAAAGCATCAACCAAATTTAGAAACTTAGAATCTTTAAGTATTCCAGTGATTTGCTAGTTAGGGCTGAGTTAGTACTTACTCATTTAGCATTACAGTAGAAAATCCATTAGAAAATAAATGGTAGAGAATTATTTAGATGAATGAAGTTGGAATTGTGTGGTTGCCCTCTTGATTTAAAATTCTTCTTACAAATTAAAAATATTAGCTTATAGGGCATAAAACTATAAACCTTTTTAGATGAGTTGAACATTTCTTCAATGTATTTTGTGCCACTTTGTTGTTGAATAAAGAATTAAGACATTTATTTATTGTACATCTACTGTACTGTCTTGAAAATTTGGACAAGGCATCCAAACCACTAATATCTGAGCTTGAGCTTAAAGGGTGCATCTGTTCACCAACCAGACAAGAAGCATAGTGGTGAGTACCTATAAGGCATGGGATTTGAAACAAGTGGCACTTGGGACACTGGTAAGTGGTTCACAGAGGCTGCATGTTCAGGTGACTGCAGGGGTGTGGCCAGGAATGCAAGTGGGCAGAGGAGGTAGCCAGGTCATGAAGAGCCTGAGTATAAACTTTCTGCATATTCTGTGCATAACTATTTTATCCTGGAAGATACAAAAAGAACAGCAGGGGCCACAGTAGGGAAAGTTTTTTTTTTTAATTATTATTTAAATATATTTTATTGATTTTTTACAGAGAGGAAAAGAGAGAGATAGAGAGTTAACATCGATCAGCTGCCTACTGCACACCTCGTATTGGGGATGTGCCCACAACCAAGATACATTCCTTTGACCAGAATCGAACCTGGGACCTTTCAGTCCACAGTCCGATGCTCTATCCACTGAGCCAAACCAGGTAGGGCAAGGTTGTTGGTTTTTAACAGAATACTGCTGATGATGAGTTTGTTTTGACAAAAGAGATATAAAATTATACTGAATTTTGAGTACATTTTAACCCTCAATATCAGTCAAAATTTTGGGTGATTAATATGACCCAATCATAAAAATGTCTTGATTCCTAACATGTGTTAAATTGTGTCTCCTTAAGCCAGACAAGCAGAAGAGTTGGGGAGGATTAAATCCCAGCTTCCCGAAGGGGCCTCAAGAAAGAAACAACAGTGAGAAAAGGCGCTTGTTTTTCCTACGCCAGCCTGGGAGGGCGTATGGGCCCCATGACAAGCAGGGCCAGTTCCAATGGCCTCGGGGAGCTGAGTGGCGAGCAGGGCTGGGCTCTGTGTTTGGCATTGTATGTGCACAATGTTATGATGAATCGCTGGGAGACACAAATGCTGCTGCTTCTCCAGCTGCCCCGCCCACTCTTCATGTAAACAGGATCTCCCAGGGGCTGGCAGCACAGCCCCCAGAGGACCCACTGCTAAGGGCTGGCCACTGCCATGCACATCCCTCCATCCTGAGATGAAGCCTGCCCAACTTCTGACCACATCCTGCCCCGAGGCAACAACAAACAAACAAAACAAAATGGGTAGACACCAAAGCTGGCTGTGTTGCTTCCTTCTTCCATTTGTCAGAGAAACTACATACATAGGCTTTTTCTTTGCTTTTAAAGTTCAAGATATGAAAAGTACTCAATCTGATGGGATCCTGAGGGTAGATAAGGGATGATTTTGTCATTGTTCATCCCCGCCCAAATTCCTCCAGCGAATTGAGAAGCCACCTGCATCAGCTTACTAATGAGTGTGGACATGGTCCCCCTCCCAGCAGGAAGCCGCTGGAAGCTGTTAAGCCAGGGCCATATCCTCAGATTTGTGATTTAGGAAGGCAGTGCTGGAAGAGCAGGGGTTACCCACTGCAGCACTTTCTAGGAAGGGGTAAGTTGGAGCTTTGCAAGCTTCTGATTAATGGTAAGGGTCTGGGGTGCTGCAGTGGTGTGGAGAGGAGGCTGGAGAAAGTGGAGATGGTGGGAAGGAAAAGGAGGAGCTGGAGATGAAGCCCTGATTTCAGACCCAGTGTCTGAGAGTCATACTGATCACTTTAACAGTTAGCTCATCTCATCCTTGGACCCACAGAACAGGGGAAATGGGAATTGAAGCCAACAAGTTAACGTTTGCAGGGTTTTCATATGTATTCACAGAGTAAATCCCAGGAAAATTAAATCAATTATTATATATATAGTTATTATTATTTTTGTTTGTTTGTTTGTTTTACAACAGCATATAAGAGGCACATAGCCAATTGTTCCTGACACTGGAACCAGTGTCACATCCTGGCCTTGACACCTAACAGTTTTGTGATTTTTGATGAGTCACTGAACTGCCCTGTGCCTGCCTTCTTCCTTAAATGAAGGGAATGACAGAAGTCAGCTAAGTATCATGATGCTTTTAAGTGAGCTGTTATGAGTAAACGATTTAGAATGATCCTTGCCTGATCTTAAGCTTAGTGCTTGTTGTGTAGTCGCCATTAATAAATATTATTTTCTATCTCTGCCTTACCACAAATCAGTATTAAAGGAGTAGAAAGTCCACTTGCAAAGAGAAACCTCAGCTTACTTCTTTCTCTTCCCACATTCAATGTTATGTGCTCAGATGGTTCAACAAAAGAAAACTACGAAAAATCTGAAGAAAAGCAAACCTTTTCTCTGAGAATGCACACGAGAAAGACAAAAACAAATTTCCCGGACGCGAGCACTCTGAGGCGAGGTTTGGCCTCTTGCAGACCGAAGTGTTCGCTTATAAATAGAATATTAAAACAAGCAAAGGCAATTTTCCCCTTTCCTCTTCCCTTATTGCCTAATTTTCCTCCCATCTCATTTGCATAATGGGTAAAAAGGCATCCATTATGCAAATGAATGACAGGGCTGTGAAGTTGCTGAAGCCACAAACCTGGCTTCCCATGAAGAGAAGCAGCCCGGGGTCCTGGCTGCAGCGGACTGCTTCTCTCGCTTGCACTCCAGCAAACAGAGGAGCATTCTGGAGCTCAGATAGATCACTACCATCCACCTGCTTCTTCCCAAAGGGGCCTGCACATGCTTCCCAGAAAATGAGTGCGCAGGACGGACACTCAGAATTGTTGTGAGGAAAAGAAACGTGACAGTATACTCTTTGTTTCAGATGTGAAAAACTAGTATTATGTACAGTTGTTACAACGTTAAGCATATGCTTTGCTTTAAAAGGCAAAGTGGGAAAAGCCCGTTCAAGCTTGAAAATTTACCTGTGACAGGTGCTCAGAGCTGCACCTCAAAATGTCTGCAAACATTCAATAGGAATAAAAAACTGTTTTAAGCCGAAACTGGTTTGGCTCAGTGGTAGAGCGTTGGCCTGCGGACTGAAGGGTCCCAGGTTCGATTCTGGTCAAGGGCATGTACATTGGTTGTGGGCACATCCCCAGTGGGGGGTGTGCAGGAGGCAGCTAGTCAATGTTTCTCTCTCATCGACGTTTCTAGCTCTCTATCTCTTTCCCTTCCTCTCTGTACAAAATCAATAAATATATATTTTTTTAAAAACTGTTTTAAGCACCAAAATATTGAAGTTTCCAGAAACTCCATGCTGTTAAACTGACCTAAATTTATCTCTAAGTGGTATCACCAAACACTGACATGTTATGTCTCTTACCATCGTCAATTCACTGAAACCTGAGAAGAATGTTTATTTTTCTCCTTCTGCCCACACCTTCAAAACAAATATAACCAAAAAAGAATTCTGAGTACACTCACTGGGTGAGTTGCTCTTGTTTTAATAAACCAGTAGGGCAGAATTAAGAAACTAACTTCAAAATGTTTGCCCCAAACTCTGAGATATGTAGTTTGGGGAGAAAAAGAAGGTAGCAAAACAGACATGACCTTTATTCCTAGAGTGGATTCCTTGATTATGCTTAGCTTATTCCAAATGATGTTTTCAGGGACTTAAAAAAAAAAAAAAATGATTCCCACAGGCTATAGAGGAATCACGTGTATCCCAATCCCTCCCCTATGAGACTTCAAGGGCACATGGTTCAGGTTCAGATTCACCTGCCATTCAAGAAAAAATGCTATTGACTTCCCTGAGCCTCAACAACTGCAAAGAGCTATGTAAAAAGTAATAATAATGTAGAGAAGAAACTAGTGTTTTTTGTTGTTGTTTTTTAAAGAAAGATCACTAACATCATAAGTCACAAAGTAGGAGCAACTCATAGACAGCAAGGGGATATACTGTATATCAGCCAGGTGACAAACACACCACAGAAAATACACATACCTAGTTTCAGAGCAGAGGGGGTCACTTCAATTTCCCCGCCGACTGGTTTGAAGGCAGCCAGTTGGGTAGCCACTTCGGTCTCGAAGGCATCCGGGCTCTGGCGGCCTGCTGGGTTTCCTCCGGGGCTGTCGACCTTGTGGAGGGGTTCTTGTTCATCAAACACAGCAATCAGCTACAAACAAACCCAACAACACCCATTACTACTTCAGTGGACTCCTGGGTATTCTATCTAGCTGTGATCTTTCATTTCAATGAAAATGGCCTCTGAAAACTTAAAATGTTAATGTGACTGTTCCCACAACTTTTAATTCACAATTATGTCTAAAAGCACCATGGCCAGGAAATAATGGACGGTGTGGCTTGAAATAGAGAACCGACTTTGGTTATCTCTCTTGGAGGAATGAAATGGTTGCCTCCTCCCCTCCCTTTTTCTAATAAGCCAGGAAGGACTTCAGTGTCACTTTTAAGAGTTGTTCCAAAAGTATAGTAGTTGAACATGCAGAAATAGAATGGTAGACATGACCAAATCCGTAATTACACCTTTCCTTTTAGACACAATCATAATAAACTGACAAAATGTGAATATTTACACAGAATTTGTATTTACCTTGTACACACACATAAATAACCCATTTCTATACATGCATTTAGGTTTATTCGTTACCAACATGACTGATCTATGTTGACTGGTCTAAGTCCAATGAATTTCAATTTGAATGAGAATTAGCATCAGCACTTTAACCAAATTCTTCTCATCTTCATCCCAATTTTATTTCATGGGTACCTATGCTTCTTGCCATAAATATAAAAATGTTTGTCAATTTCCAATTCATTTTTCATAAAAAAGGCAAAATATCATAACACATCCCATTCACTGTGCAAACATCACTGTGTAAAACGTGAGGCAATCCGGCTGAGACTGCATTTTTGGCCAGCGGGGAGCACCACCATCAGGGAACCTCTGCTGCCCCTTATCACTGATGTGGAAAAGTCCAAACATGTGGGCAGCTCAGGGATGCCACTGTTAGCTCAGGAAAAGTGCAGTGTGTGTGCAAATTTGAAAACTGCTAGTAAATATATATTTTTCATTCATTAAGTAAAACAAACCTACTTATGATTCAAGCATTTATTCAGGAAAAAGCCCTATTCATAGGGGAACCTTGTTGGCAATAGTATTAATGACACAAGAGCAGGGGTAACCAATCAGAACATCATACATTCCAAGTTCAGTCTTTCAGAAGAAATGAATACAATTAGGGATATGTAAATTGGCTATTCAAAAATGATTTTCATAATTGACTACTCATTTCCAGTATGGAGACTTGTTTAATTGGAAAAGCCAATCCTCTCACCACGGGAAACAAATGCTAGTCCCCAGACATTACTTTTAATTCTTAAAATTGAACACACACATTTTCTATTTTTAATCAGCAGCACTGATGAACTGGTTTCAGAAAAGACTTAAATGGATTAATAATGAAAGATTATTCTAGTATAAGAATAATCCCTAGAACTATATTTATCTAATCATCTGGTCAAAGTGATGTTTAACACTGTAAATCCTGAGAAGGAAAATAAAATCAATTTTTAAATGCAGTAAAAGTGTTATTTTCATCACTATTTCTTTGACAACAAAAATAATTTCAAATTTATGTATTGGTAAATTCTAACACATGTTAGTACAGTTATTTTAATTTATCAACCAACTAATAAAAGTGGCTTATTATATGGGTAGTATAAACAGTTTCATGTAAATTAAGAATCATACCTTACTTTTCCCTTTTGTTATATTTTTAACTCAATATATCCTATATATTATAAATATTGGGTCAAAGAGAAAAAAATAAATACAAAAGCTTGCACAGCTGGCATGCTTCACTGTTGAGCATCAGCCTATGAACCAGGAGGTGACATTTTGATTCCTTCCATGTCAGCACACATGCCTGGGTTGAAGGTTTGATTCCCAGCAGGGGGCATTCAGGAGGCAACCAATCAATGATTCTCTCTTATCATTGATGTCTCTATCTCTCCCTCACTCTTCCTCTCTGAAAATCAATAAAAAGCTTAAAATTGATAACTCATAAATCATTATCTATATCTAAGACTCATTATCTATTATCTATAACATTTTTTTCTTGAGATATTTTATTGATAACCATCTAAATATATAAAAGGCTAATATGTTAAGTGTCCCTCCAACAGTCCAATTGGTTGCTATAACACACACTGACCACCAGGGGGAAGATGCTCAATGCAAGAGCTGCCATGATGCACACTGGCCATTCACAAAGAAATTGCACTGTGGACCTGGCACCAACAAAGCAACACTTGGCTTCCCCCAAGTGGGACACAGGCTCTGTCACCACCGTGGAGCAACAGCCTACCAGATCACAGCCAACACTGCTGAGACCCCATGGCGCAAAATGAGGCCCACAGCCCAGCCCAGCCCTGAAATGATTGCTGTGGCAATGGGTAATGACATCACATAGCAATACCTGGCTTCCTCTCCCTAGCGACTAGTTTCCTTGAAGTCTCTTCAGCCCAGGAACACTACTTGCTTTATAGCTAGGTGAAAACATTTTACACTTTAAACAAATGTCTGTGAAAGCATTTTCTTGTGTTTCATCTCATTTGATCCTCACAGAAGTTCTGGAGTAGGTAGATAGGAGGCTTGGTAGAATCCTATTTTCTTTTCATTAGCCGGAAAATGGAAATTTAAAAAGTTTAGAAACTTGACCCAGCAGAAAAAATATAAGAAATGGTGGATCTTGAAAATGACTTAAGGTTTTCTCACTGGGCAGGGTATAGTCAAACACTGCTGCAGATAAATATTTTACCCTTTGTTCTCCCTGTATGATTTACAATAACAATCTGTTTTGTGTTGATATTTACTGCTGTGTTGCTAACAATTACCTGAAAGAGAAGTTGGGGTGCCTCACTGGGCTGGAAAAAGTTTAGCTAAATCAGAAAGCAGGTCTAATAAGCAAGTTTATTCTATATTTATAAAAGGATAAGTTGACTCACACATGCACGATACATACAAAGTTTTCAATGGCACCAGTTGCACGTGTGTTTTTTGATCTGTCATTGTCGATTGTGAATTTGGTTGACACTTCTATTATAAAGAAAGGGCGAATATTGGTATTAAAATATTTCTTCTAATTAATTTCCTTTCAATGTGCACAAATCCATGCACTGGGCCACTAGTACTATTCTATTCACACAAGTGTATAGAGTATGCAGTAACAATGTTATACCAAATAATATATGAAATGAGACAACAAAGTAGTTTGGAGACTGTGTTGTCCAAGTGAACCCTATCTTTTTAATTTCCAGTGCAGTGTCACAGACCACCCTGTAACCATCTTCCCAAAAGGAAGGTATACAAGATGAGGTTGCACTGTGGAATGTTTGTAGTTATTGAGGAGGAAGCTATGGCCTAAAGCCCTAAACTAAGAACGTGAACATGACTCTACGGAGATACAGGCAATACACAACTCTTCCCAAAGATGATGCTAGTGAGATCTGCCCTATCCATCTGCAAAATCTCATAATTAATAATTTCTTTGATTAATTAGTTGCTTGGTCTGTCTCTGAAACCCATGACTGACAGGAATGATTGCTGTACAGCCCATTCTGAATGTGTGAAGAGCTGAATGAATGACATAGAGTCTCTACCCCTGGAAGGAAGAGGATCGGTTTTTGGGTCTCTGATGCCCAAGGTCACTGGCAGTGCAGGTGCTGGCTGAGGAGACTTCATCAGTCTTCAACTCCACTCTTCAACGCACACAGATGCACACTTGTTTCAACACTGATAATTAATTTCCAACATGAGTTGTAGGTGCTTGTTAGCTGGATTGCTTGATTCATCAGAACACTTACATTATTGGGTGACAGAGTTCCTAACACCCAGTGTAAGAGATGCATACATTAATTAACATAAACCACTGCTCTAGCTCCTCAACAGAAGGCATGCTGACTTTCAAAGTGCCCATTGTTTGCCTCCCCTCCCTGCCTTAAACCCATTTGAAATGACCTCTCCAAAAGAGATGAGTTCAACATCAAAGAAGAAATTCTATCAAATTTGTGGTGAAGGTTTAATCTAGCCTAACCATCTGTGGCATGCAGAAGATTTTTCACTGGCCTGCAGTAGCCTAAACTGTATGCAAAAGGCCACTAGGCAGCACTTGATTTGGACCCATCCTCCTCTGCTGCCCTATCCATCCCTGGTGCCCCTGCTTCCCTCCTGTGATGCCAGCATTATCATGTCACCCAGTGCAGCACTGGCATTTCCCACAAAGACCATGGTCCCAAATGATCTTTTTAGATAGCCTTGATTTTCAATCAAAACTTCCGTCCCCGCAGATCCCTAACAGGGTACCTAATCTGCATATATGCACAGAAAGAGCTACCTACAAATATACTGTTCATTCTCCCACCCAAAACAAAAACCCAAACAAGCCAACCTTCTCAGGACTCACCCTTACAGGTGCCACCCAGTTGTTCCCTCCCCTCTAGAGTAAAATCTGAAAGACCTGTGCACAGACCAGTTCCAGTCTCTCTCCGTCATTCCTTTACTGAGGTCACTAGTTAGTGACCTCCACTGAAGCCGGCCTTAACAAGTCAGAGACAATCTGCAGGATGCGAAATCCAAAGCCCATCTTGGGCTTGATTTTAGGACACCATCAACTATTGTATCCTCTTTACATCACTTTCTTCACTTGCCTTCCAGGCAATACATTCTGTTTCTGGTTAAACATTTTTTTCCAATTATAATTGACATTCAATATTATATTAGTTTCAGGTGTATAGCATAGTGATTAGATATTGATATAACATACAAAGTGATTACCCAGATAAGTCTAGTACCCACTTGACACCATACATAGTTATTATATTAATACTACTAGAGGCCTGGTGCATGAAATTTTTTGCACTGGAGCGGGGGGGTCCCTCAGCCCAACCTGCATCCTCTCATAGTCCAGGACCCCTTGTTCCCTACCTCCAGACTACAGCAGAGGTGGGAATGGCTCTCACCACCTCCACTGTGCTCACCAGCTGCAAGCCCAGCTTCTGGCTGAATGGTGCTCCTCTATGGGAGCAGCACACTGACCACCAGGGGGCAGCTCCTGCATTGAGCATCTGTCACCTGATGGTCAGTGCAGGTCAGAG